CAGCACCGCCATCACCTGCAAAGCGTTAGTGCCGTCACGAACCAGGTAAACATGAGACCGGCTGGTAGAGATAATGGAACGGGTTATTGTTTCCTCCCTTTTCACCCTTTCCGATGGGGTTTTTGCGTTGCGTTACGTTGCCCTCCCCTTTTGTCATTGTGCAGCAGAAAATCGGTACTGGTGGTGTGGTCGTGTATCCTATTTCTTTCGAGCTCTGAAAACTCAAAAATCAGGCCATATGCTACATGCCATATACAGGTCAGCATCACATCTTCAAATGAAGCTGCCTCTGCTCATTTTTTACTCTGTGCAACGTAAACGCATCATTGCTTGGGTGGCATTCCGGTCGCTTGGGTTTTTGTGAACGGTGTCGACATGTGTACAGCTCCAGGCCGCAGTCGTCGACTGATCAGTCGATTGATCGATTGGCAACCCGCCTCAAGCCCCGAGGTGTGAGAGCGCTTACATAACGAAGCGCCACTTAATTTCTGTAAAAGCTGTTCCTCGTCATGTGCACATCCACCGCTCCCAAAGTAGGGCCGATTTTACGGACACCGTAGACGCAGCGCTTACAGGAAGCTCCGCCTAACGGCGGCAGATGGGCACAAGATCAGGAACACGATCAGCTCTTCTCACAGGACAGGTTGCGTACCTGGCTAAGCTGTTGCACTGCAATAATACTGGGCGGACTGCTGACCGAACGGCTGACCCATGGGTCGCTTGGACGGAAAAAGAAATTTCACAGTGGTTAATGCACGAATGGTAATAAATTGAAAGTCATTTGCGCGATATTACCGATGGGGGAAGCTGAAACAGTGTTTTTTTTTCGTTTTGGGCCTAATACCCTAGAGTAATAAACTGGGTGTTTCTTGCGGTTACAATTCCTTTTTGTATAGTCGCAACAGCAACACAGACGCATCTACATACGTACACACACGCACACATAAGCGCCATCGCACATACCGCGCTTTGAAAGGCGCTCTAAAAACAAAACCCAAGATGCTCAAGATAGATAGATACACAGATACATAAGTGCAGTCAACACCAGTCAACACCAGTCTTAAGCCCTGTACGTCGGCACTACGAAGCTGTCGGACTGGGGCTGCCGTTAACTGGGGGGGATGTCGCGCATGCTCTGATGTCACGCGCATGTCGCGGTCAATGGCGCAATAGCGACATCGGAACTCCTAAGCACGCTGAGGCGAGGATCGATCTGTGGCATAAGCAACCTCGGTTCGCTGTCGTAGAGTCGCGAACACATTCGTAGAACCGACTGATTACCTCTTAGAATGGGCATTTAGCCCACTTCCTTTCCTCCTTTCGTCCTTGATTTCACCTGAGTTCATCTGCATGCGTTCGTTTTCCACGTAGCACCAAAACAAAAACGCTGCAGCGACCCGGAATGAAGGAGGAGTAAAAGGCCCCATCGCGCAACGCCGCACATCTTTTTGATTTTGTTGTTACAGCCGCACGAGGGTTCTGTGCAAAGCGCCCGCTTTTGCCTGGTTCCGGGTTCCTAGCGTTGCAGTGAGAGACACACGCAACCTGCAAAAGCCAGTGGAGGAAGTAACTGGTGGCCTGGTTCCGAAATGGACAAGCGCTCTCTCTACACCTCCTTGTGGCTCCTAGCTGGTGAGCAACAGACCGCTCCTCCTCTCCCAGTTTTCCTGCCCCTCCAATCTCCAATCTCCTTCCCAGGATGAGAGCTTGGATTTGGAATCTGGTGTGTGAACCCTATATCTGGTCTCCGTGTTTTATCCGCTCCCTCCGCATCCTAGCTGCCTGCCTGGCTGGCTGGCTACGTAGGGACCTGGCTGGCTGGCTGTGTCGTCAGCTGTCGCAGGCCCTTAGTACGTGTAAGGCCCCCTCCCTTCCCCCCGCCCGCCCGGCTGAGCGCCCGTGAGCTCGAGATGCCAGACCCGCCTGACGATGCTGCGCCTGCTGATGCAAATTTTGGAGTTATCACCGCTGCTGTTGGTGTTGGTGTTGGCTGTTGCTGTCGGTGCTGCTGATGCTGATGTGCAGACCCGCTGGTCACCCGGATGTCCAGCGGAGGTCATATGAACGCGTGGGGCGTACTCACTCACTGACGCGCTGAGATCAAACACACACACACATACACACACATAGACATACACATACACTTACAAATGCACTTACAAATGCACTTACACGCACACGCACACACGCGCAAACATACACGCGCGTGCATCACAGTCCCCCACTCCCCGTCACGCCATAGAAGGCTGGCTGGGACGGAAACCACCTGATGACGCCCTTCACACTTGCCCTTCCGCTCCCCTGCACGCAGCTCTGCTGGCCGCCTCGGGGGCCGGCGGCGCACCCACCGGTCGTAGCCTGCTTCAGGCGGCAATCACCGCCAAGCCCGCCAAGGGTTTGCCCGCCAAGGCGGCCAGCACATCGGCCGTCACCCCGACTACGACTGAGTCCGGGCTCACCGACCTGCCCGCCGCAACCTCCGGGGCACCCGCCGTCCTTCCTGGAGCAGCGGCTCCCAAGGCGGCGAAGACTGAGAAACGAGCTCCGAGAGCTACCCCCAAGGTGAGCGCGGGTGGGGAGGAACGGGTGAAAGTGAGAGCGGGAGGGGATCAAAAGCTTTCCTTGATTGGTCGTAGGAGGTGGTAGGGTAGTGGCGGACCATGCCCAAGCCGTGCCATGCCATACCCAGTTCACCGCACCCTGCTGGCTTGTGTCCTTCATAGTAGGCGCCTTGTCGCCAGACCTTGGCGTCAATTAAAAGTCCAAGTCGGACTGTGGTCCAGACGACAATGGGGGGAATGTAGAGGAGTTGGCCGCCGCATGTTTTGCGGCTGTTGGAGCTGTAGGCGGAAGCGAAAATGGTGTAAAAGTATGAACAGCTTGTCTTTTCAACACATTTCCGACAGGTTTTGTAGGGCACGTGTACGGCTTGTGTAATCTTATACTCTCGCTTGATGCCCATAATTGCGGAATTATATGTTTTTATACGTGTATAATACGTGTTACAGTTACGTAGTACATGCGGGGTTTTTCGTTTCACAGTGAATTTCCAACGCAAATCGTGTCAACATAACACGCAATCCCATTCCACCCGTCTCGGCACCACCGCGGTTCACTGTTTCGTTCCAGTCCCTCCAAATTCACACGCCGACATCCCATCCCGATCCCAACATGGACTCCCCGCAACATGTCAAACAGCTGGGCATTGCGATCGAGGCGCTCAACGTCACGGGAGTCGCGAACCTGCTAACCAACGAGACCGTGGCAACCATATTTACTCCGGACGACGCGTGAGTGCATGTGGACGGTCCATAGCGCTGCCCTTAAGGTTGGCGCGCGCGCGCGTGGAACGCTTTGTAGCCCAACATTGTCTAAGGCTTGGCGGGAAGGCGTGCGGATGGATTGATAATAGCTTCATCTGATCTAAGGATTGGCGTGGGTGCCGTCGCCGCGCCGTGCGACGGCTTTCGGCTACATAGCTCCCATCACGGTCAATGCAAGCGCTTCCCCCTAAAGGGGAAGTACGACAAAAGTGCACGGGAGCGTGTGCCTGTGCGTGTGCGTGTGCATGTCTGTGTGTGTGTGTGTGTGTGTGTGTGTGTGTGTGTGTGTGTGTGTATATATGATGTACGACAAATGCCATCCGAGGAGAGAAGAGTGATAAAGCGTTACCGCTGTCTCGCCTCTTCCCTTCGCATCCCCTCTTCTCTTCCCTCGTCGTCCCCCTTTCCTCTGCCTGCTTCCCCTCTTCCTCCTCCCTCCTCCCCAACCCCATCTTCCACACCCCATCTCCCCCGATCCGCAAACACCCACGCCGGAAGTTTGCGTTTATTTCCCCCAAACCCCCCTGTCCTGGTTGGTCCCTTCCTGTCCACGCAGCGCCTTCATCAGTCTCGCCAGTCGGCTCAACATGACGGTGGGCGAGCTGCTGACCAACCCCCTGGCGTACAATCTGACGCGGCTGTCCATCATCCCAGGTGGGTTCCGGAGCTGGGGCTGGTGATGGTGCTGTACCCCATGGGGGAAATAAATGAACTAACCGACCAGATACTTGTTATGATTGGGAGGGAAGACCCTTAAACCCTATGTATGTACCGACCAACCGACCATATATTTAACACCGTGGCATGAATATTGGAAATAAATGAACCAACCGACCATATACCGACCAACCGACCAACCGATATTTAACACCGTGGCATGGTCGTTCGTCTTCTTCTTCTAGCCACTCTCTATTCGTCATACGAGAGGAATTAACCGGTGAGGCCTCACTGTTACTTTGTTGCACTTTGATGTCAAATGACTTCTGTAGTACCAACTTTATTAGTAACTGCTGCTCGTCGACAAGTATTATCTGTAAAGTTTTGATGAGTATTTGGCTAGTAAGTAACACACGCACGCGCTGGTGCTATGTCGACGTCACAAATTGCATATATATACATGTCCCAACTCGCGCACAGATGTGGCGCTACGCAGCAAGGACCTCGTCCCGGGAGTAACGGTGACTGAGCCCTCGTTGATGGGACCCAACCTGGAAATCACACGTGTCGGGTGGGTGGGGGGACGGGAAAGAATTGGAAAGTAGGGGGCAATGTAAACCAGGACGGGATTGATAGGTGAGAACTGAACGAGGAGGACGGGCATGCGGCGGTCTCAGGTTCGATCCAATCTGCAAGCGGATGATGTGGCGGATTTGGTGACATAAGAATATTGCGTTATTGCCGATGACGGACAGCCTCTTAATCGCACGCGGGACCGAGCACCTTGTGCATGAATCCATGGCAGCCGCTGCTATTGATGTTCCCTGTACGGCACTTGTCGCTACCTCTGCTGCTGGCGTGCCCCCATACTACGCCGCTGCCATTCTCTAGGGTGCTTGCCTACTGCGCCGCATGCTGCTGCTGCTGATGATGATGTTGCACACGAGAATACATAAATGTTTATCCCCTCGTAATGAACATCCCCTGATGCATGAGGAGCGTCCTCGGGTTCACCCGCTTGCCCGCTGTCCCTTCTCCCTCCCCACCTGTGGTGACGCTCATTGCACATCTACATCCACATCCATCCATATATACATACATATACACATACATGCACTCATACAATCACGGGAATTACGACCAGCCGGACCATCCGAGTGCGCGTGGAAAACACCAACAGTACGGCAGAGGTGACCAGGGCGGACATCCCCTTCAACCAGGCGAGTGCACGAGGGATGTCGTACACTTAGCTCCTGTCCTGCTGGTGCACTCCGGAGCCCGCGTGTAGGCGTGTCGACATGTGCTGTTCACATGTTTTTTCACATGTCGCCCCTTTTCATGCACATTACAAGTTCTGGAATCGACAGCCGCTGAAGCTAGCTAGCATGTTGACAAACTAAAGATCTGCGTGGACCTCTCCGAACGTGGCTCCCTCGCTCCCCTCCGCCTTTTGACTTGACCAGTATAATTTCCTCCCTTTCCTGACACCTCGTGACAAGCAATCCCCCGGGTCATTCCCTTGGACTAAACCGCAGGCGGTCGTGCATGTCATTGACAAGGTGCTGGTGTAACAGAGATCGATTGTACGACAGGCGAAACATATGCCTCAGGGCAGGGCCCCTCTACACCAAAAATTGGCTTCGGGAGCGGGCTAGGGCCAGAGAAGGAAAAAGGTGCACATTTCAGTTTCGTTGCCAAAGTGATTGTGCAGCAATTACTTATCCGGCTCCTAGTGCATTTCGGACGTGGGTTCTTTTTTTCTTTTGTCAAATGCTTTTTTATGCGGCTTAGCGCGAAAATCGTTGACGGTTATTTGTTGCGCCGGTTGCAATGTCAAGTTGGTTGCGTATATAAAAAATGTGGAAGACGTAAGATTCTCAAAAGCACGATGACACGTCGGCACTTGTGTGCTCCGGCAGGACCTTTGCGACTGTCGAAACGTTCAAGGCAGACAGGCACACAGGACATGCAAATGGACTTTAAAAAGACTGCTCTAGAGCAACACGAAGCCACAGTAACGTACGAGTGAAATTCTACAACGTTAAAAAGCAACACCTCCTACCCACATGTGCCCACGTACATCAGCAGAGCGGATATTACACCATAAAAATGACTGCTACCTTAACGCGAGTCCTAACGCGAGCGGAAAGTATCTGCTGCGATGTAGCTGCCGTACTGTCGTACAGCGCAGCGTACCCAAGCGGTGATGACGCATCTGGAAGGCTGAAGAAAATTGTTCCGACCAGCAAGCTTTTAAAACGGCAGCGCAAGTGTGTTTTTGTGAGTTAGGAAGTACTAGACGGACAGGATTGCAAGCACCTGCGTAAAAAAAGATCGCTCAATCCACCGCAATCACCCGGGAATACAAGGGTACACCGTCGTAGCCAACTGGGGAAGGCGGAAGTGGCGAAGGTTGCACTTTGTTATTGTGCCTGCTTCACCATGTTCCCAGCACGGCGGTGGCAGCGAAGGGCCTCGTGGGCGCATGATGGCGAGCCTCAGACGAGGGTCACACCGCAACCCAAGGGCGCGTCAGACGCTGCGGCGGGTGAGGGTGAGGGTGAGGTTAGGTCCTTCCCCGCCCCACGCAAACCGCATGGTGCGTGCCAGGGAATCGGAAAAGGTTTCCATTCGGAAATCTACCAGTCGATGCAGTCCCCAACCCGTTTCCGCCGCAACCCGGATTAACATTTCCAAGGGATATATATCGACCTCTGCCGGGCTCGAACCTTGGGCCTCCCGCTTGGGCCTCCCCCAAAAAATAGTCTAATGTAGGTTCTAGGACAGCTCCGACTACCCCCCAACTAACTCGTGTACGGCACCCCAACCCCCCTCAGCCGTACAGGCGGTAGCGTAGCGGTCGGCAGCTGCGCGAGTGTGAGCAGGTAGTTGTACGGCGGCCCGGCTCGGAAGCTACCGGACTGTAGTGGCGCACACGGGCAGTTGGTGATAGTCGGCAGGCGCGCGAGTGGGAGCTGGCAGTTGAGCGCGCACGGAGCACGGTTGAGCGGAAGCTGCGTCTGAGCACGGTTGAGCACGGCGGGTGTGGTGGTTGGCGCGACGCGCGAGTGGGAGTGCACAGTCGTGCGCGCGCCATCTGGGAAGCTGCGTGTGTGAGCTGCGTGTAAACTCAGACCCATGGGTCTGACCCGGTTTCCATAAGCTGGCTATGGGCGCACACGGTTCCACACGCTTGAGAGTTGGGCTGCAGCGTTCGACGAAAGGGGGAAAGAGGCGGTTTAGGACAGCTTCCAGCCTAAGCAGCGTTTACGGCAGTTTTCCAGAGACGCGAATATGAAAACGATTGTTTGGTACAGGTATCAAAAGCTATGGAAAAAAGATCGAACAGGAGAGCGCCTATCGAACATGAAGATAGGATAAGAGCACCTGGTCTCGAATGTAAGACAGTCACGCTTCTCGGCAGCCGTTCAGCCAATTATGAAAAAACGGCATCGCCTCAGTCCCGTACACTTCCGTACTCTGATATTGAATCCAATTCAATTCAATACTCTGATATGTACGACGATGCCGTACAATGCCGTACCTCCGATGGTCTCGACCTTGTAAACTTGATGCTTCTCCACCAGCTGGTCAAAAATGGTGAAGAGGTCGTTGAGGAACGCCATGACTCGGTGGGGCGGAACCTGACCACACCTGCTGGTGAAGGAGGCGATGTCTGTGTACGGCACATAGAGAATTCGAACCATCATCACGTAAATTACACGTGCACATGGGGTAGGAAAAGATTACTGAAGACACAACTTTACGAGTATAACAAAATATTAAAAATTTCAAAAACTTCAAGCATCCATTATAATAAAATGGTAAACAGCTCATGGTGACAGTGTATTTTGTTTATTTTGTTTATTTCGTAAGGTAGGGACCGTGCGTCAGTTACGGTAAAGTACGGCAAACCGTTGTCGTCAGTTGAAACCGTTGTCGTGTTACCCCGGGCGCTATGTCGTACCACCGCCACACACAGTTCACACACACCCCACCGGCAACCCACCTGCGAACAGCACCGTCACCTCCTCATGCGATCTCGCCATGTACTGCTGTGCGCCGCTCAAGGCTCCGAAACCACCACACGAGGGCGTGGAGGGTGAGGTGACGCTGTGACTGTGGCTGTAGCTGGAGCCCAATGCTGATTGCGCGTTGGGGAGCTGTAGCGGGCGGACAGGCGGCGGCGGCGATGGGAGGGTGGTGGCGACGGCGGCCGCTGTGGCGGCCGCCTCCGTTGCGTCGCCGCAGAGGCCCGGCGGCGCTGGGGCGCATGCGGCGGCGGCGGCGGCAGTAGCAGCAGCGGCGGCGGTGACGGCGCCGCAGCTGTCAAGGCA